CACAGATGGATTCTTGGATTGTGGCAACCTTTAGCCTATTTTGAGTAACACTGCAGCCATCGTACATGTCAGAAATCTCCATTCTGCACTGCCTTTTTGGTGTGTGCTTTTCTGAGACAGGATCTTACTCTTCAATCCACCCTGGCCTCAGACTTGCACTTCGCCTGCCTTTATTTGAAAATAAGAGTGATTTGAGATTATTCCCGGGCTACTCTCCTCTTTTAGGAGAGGATTGTAGAAAGTGAAGTGAGAACGTAAGTCTTATATGACAGTAAAGAACCTTGAGAATGAAAGGACAGCAGGTGCAAAGGTCCTGAGGCAGGAGCAAGGTTGTATGCGGGGGAAGCAGGAGGAAAGCCTCCAGGAGTAAGGGAGGCTTGCTGTCCATCAGCCCCGGATGAGAAGTGTCACTTGGTATTCGTGCAGGAAATTCTGGTTTTATCACAGGATCAAGTGACACATTGAGAATCTGTTTGCTCCGATATCCAAATACAAAAGCAAGTGATACACTCAGGTTGTATTGACAACAAGAACCCCTGTCTTCTCCCCAAAACGTCTGCCATAACCACAGAGCATCAGAGGCCCACCTCCAGCATTTTTTTTAAGCTGTCTCCTTTTTACAGTGACTTTTTGCCTTTGAGCCATCCTTGGAGCGCGGGGAGTTTTCTTCCGTTCAGCAGAGGGAAGGCAGCTGCTGAGCTGGTTGAGTGACGCCCCGAGCCTGGGTTACGCATCCACTGCCTCCCGGTGTCTGAACTCACCATTGCGCCCGGAGATCAAGTAGTTTTCAAACGTGCTTCAGCAATGTGGCTTTTTTTTTTTTTTAAAGCAAAAGTATGTATAGAAAGAAGTCAAAGTGTTGGGCGCCGGTGGCTCACGCCTGTCATCCTAGCTACTCAGGAGGCTGAGATCTAAGGATCACAGTTCGAAGCCAGCCTGGGTAGGGAAGTCTGTGAGATTCTTATCTCCAGTTTATTCTACCAAAAAGCCAGAGGTAGAGCTGTGGCTCAAGTGGTAATGACCAGCCTTGAGTGAAAATGCTAAGAGAGAGCATGTGGTCCTGAGTTCAAGCCCCAGTACCTAGGTACATATCACGGGCATGTGCACGTACACACACACGCGCGCGCGCACACACACGCACGCACGCACTCACGTGTTCATGCTATCGTGAAATAGGAGAACACAAAATGACCCATGCAAGCAATTTGGGGATCCAGCTATTGAATTATCACAGAACTGGTGGGAATTTGCATGTTATACCAATCAATCTGGGTTCCTGGGGTCATCTCTACAAAGAGCAATGCTGCTGCGACTGAGTACAAGGACTGAGTAGCAAGCGGCAAAGGCATGTGTTTTGGAGAATTCCAGAACCGTCTGTCGAGAGTTTGTCTCATCAGTGGATGTCAGCCCATCCGACTTGTCTGGAGTTCCAGGCTCCTGTGGTAGATGAGTCGGGATTCAGAGGGTTAACTGCCACTCATCACCTCAGGGCGGGGCTTGATGTGGAAGAGGCTTAGGTGGGGGGGAAATGCCCGAGACTTTACCTTTCATTTCCATGAAAGGCTATCCATTTGCGTAAAAGTGATTGCCTGAGAATTGTAGAGACCCTCAAGTTTCTAGATTCCAGCTAGAAATGGAATTTAAACACCTGAAAGAAAAAACAGTCCCAAATCTACAGGAGATGCTGGCGTCTGTGTTCTGGGACTTACCGTCTTGGTTGGATTTAGGCTCTTGTGAGTCTCTGTGAATTCAGCAGAGTCTGGTGGAGGTAGGGACTACCTAGAGCTCCTCTGAGAGACACCAGATCCCAGGAGAGGATCCCGGCGAGAGGTCAGGCACATTTCCCTCAGTAAAGCCCACTAGGGAATTTTTTCTTTTTTTTGGTCGGTCTTGAGGCCTGAACTCAGGGCCTGGGCGCTGTCCCTCAGCTCTTCAGCTCAAGGCTAGCACTCTACCACTTGAGCCACAGTGCCACTTCTGACTTTTTCTGTGTATGTGGTGCTGAGGAATCAAACCCAGGGCCTCATGCATGAAGGCAAGCACTCTACCACTGAGCCACCTTCCCAGCCCGGGAAAATTCTTATATTCAGAGCATGTCAGGTTTTAGATCTCTAAAGAATTCTTCACAGGATGCTTCAACAAGAAAATGCTGTGACAACATAAAAACGCATGTGTAGATATGTTTCATGTGTATGCTAGTTCCTGAGCTTTTTGCTCAAGGCTGTCACAGCTCCACCTCTGGCTTTTTGGTGTTTAATTGGAGATAAGAGTCTCACAAATTTTCCTGCCCTGGTTGATCCCAAACCATGATCCTCAGATCTCAGTCTCCTGAGCAGCTAGGATTACAGGCATGAGACATTGGCACCCTGCTAAAATATTTTACTTCAGAAAGAGATCTGTTATGCACCAAGTTTTTGAAAGCTTTTGATTAAAAAAATAAGATTGGCATAATTTAACACTTCACTTCATAATTGTAGATCTGTCAATCTTGAACAAATAGGACAATGATATAATGTAAACAGTAATTAGAATTTCTCTTTTATTAGCATATATTAATTGTACAAAAGGGTTTCCTTGTGATATTGCCATACATATGCGCACATAATAATTTGAAGATTTTAAATCACTCTGGGACTGGGGCATGGCTCAAGTGGTATGGTACCTGCCTAGTAATCACAAGATGCCAAATTCAAACCCCAGCAATGCCTCCCGCCCCCCCCCAAAGAATCACTCTGTAATAATGTAGTATGTGAATAAAACAACTTTTTTTTTTTATCAGTTGTGAGGCTTGAACTCTGGGCCTGGGCACTGTCCCTCAGCTCTTCAGCTCAAGCAAGCATACTACCACTTGAGCCACAGCACCATTTCTGGTTTTCTGGTGGTTTATTGGAGATAAGAGTCTCACGACTTTCCCACCCCTGGGCTGGTTTGAACTGCAATCCTTAGATCTCATCCTCCTGGTAGCTAGGATTACAGGCATGAGCCACTAGCACCCGGTTAAAACAGAACTTATTATCTGTCCTTTAAGAAGAAAGTTTCACAAGTAACTTTCTGCAAAGGCCATTATTCCTCTATGTTAATATTCTTTGCTGTTCAAATTCCTGCAGCTAACTCGTGAATCTCTATCGCGATTATTAGCTCTTTCAGGAGAGTGTCCCTTCAGCAGAAAATAATCCTCCCATTTCAAAACTTCCACCGTTCTCTTGAAGTCACTGTGAGACAAGTCTGGCGGGTTTCTGTCGTTCCGAGGTACAACATATTGAAGATATTTTTGGCTGTTTACATTTATCATTGTGAACTGACTCTAGATCCACTGCCCTAGTTGTAAATATTTTCAAGCAATGTAAACTCGGGTATAAAGTATTTCAGAAAAAGTAGACGGGGAATGCTTTCTTAATTGTCGAGTGCTACACAGACAAACACCTACAATCACCTGACCACAAGGAGACGCTGAGCTGCCGGCAGTAGAACACCCAGCTGTCTGTGTAGCTCATTAATATGTTGTGTCTCTCCATTCCCAATGGCAAATATAAGACATACTTACTGTATGTAGGCCCATCTAGAAATCTTAAGAGGGACAGGAACCTATGTGCAGTTCATTCACCTGACGTGAGTTATTGTAATAAACACTAACTTCCATTAAGAGCAACTGAACCTTCCCTTTGTATTACGTGGCTGTCTCAAAAATTTCTTTTTTTCCCCCGCAGTTAGAAAATAATGAGCCGGGCACCAGTGGCTCACACCTGTGATCCTAGCTACTCAGGTGGCTGAGATCTGAGAATCAAGGTTCAAAGCCAGCCCAGGCAGGAAAATCCATGAGATTCATCTCCAGTGAAGCAGCAAAAAAGCCATTAGTGGAGTTGTGGCTCAAGTGGTGGAGCATCAGCCTTGAGCAAAAAAGTTCAGGGACATCACTTAGGCCATGAATTCAAGCCCCAGGATTGGCACAAAAGTAAGAAAGGGTGAGGGTGTCTGTATGGGTTTACTTTCTGTGCAGGGATGTATGTAAACATACATCTGTATATTTTTTTCCAGAAGACTCTGCATATACATTGACTAAAAGTGGTACAGTGAACATAAACAAACTCCAGAAGAGAAATTCCAGCATTCCGTTTTTGCCTTTCCCATTGTCCGTGTGGTGTATTTGCATGTCCGTTTGTCTGTTTTGATTCTCAGGTTTTTTTTTTTCTCTCTCATTTAGTATTTATAAGGACCTTTGGGCAGATGCCTTCAAAACAACTGGATGGTTTCTGGCAGTTGGGCAGAAGGAAGGAATTGTCCAATCCTAGTGACACAGGAACAGAAGACAGGAACGAGAACCAGACTTTAGCAACCCTCACTCGGGTGAAAGGGCACCAGCGGCCTGGCTCACGCCCACCTAAAGGACAAGGCTTTCATTCGATAAAGATCATTAGTCGCTGAGATATATATTTGAGGGAGTTCTGGGTAGCAGAGATTCGGCTGGCAGCTACTGGAGTGTGCCAGATGGTTCATTAACATAGGCGAGACAAGAGAAAGGCTTTCAGAATCATTTACAAAATGTCAAACAGCAACAAGAACCCTGTCACTTTTTATTAGAATTAACTACATCATACCCTGGACACAGATTTCACCTTGGGTCAGAAAAATTAATACAGAATTATATGAGTTGTGTAATATACTGGGTTAAGATAGGTCTTTCTCCGGGGACTCATTTGCTGGCAATATATTATGATCTGTGGACTTTTGGATTCCTCAACCCTTTCCCTTTGTACCATATGAAAAAGAGTTGACCTTGCTCACCAACCATTGGTGGCTAATTGATTGGAGGTCTATGCAGAATTTCAACAAGATATTCTTCTAAGTCTCCTTTGTGGTGGTTGTGGTTGGAAGCCCGGTGGAGTGGGGCTGGCTGACTTCTGTCACACATCCGTGCGTAGAGTCCGCCCGCCTCACCACCCGGGAGTGGATGGAGACGCCACTGAAATGTGTGTGTGTGTGTGTGTTTGTTTTGATTGTAGATGTCAAGAGCCTGGAGAACTTACAGCTGGTCGAGGGAGTCCACGAACAGGTCAATAACGCCCTGCTGGAGTACACCACCTGCAACTACCCTCAGCACACCCAGAAATTCCCACAGCTCGTTCTCCTCCTCCCCGAAATCCGGCAGATCAGCATACAGGCAGAGGATTACCTGTACTTCAAACACCTCAACGGGGACGTGCCCTATAACAACCTTCTCATCGAGATGCTGCATGCCAAGAGAGCCTGAGTGCGCCCGGAGCGCTCGGCCTCCCGAACAAGACAGACAGAGAGAGAGATTGGGAGAAGGGAAAGAAGAACGGAAGTAGGATAGGGAAAAAAACAATACTCTGAACTGCTCTAAGCAACACTAATTTAAACAAACAAACGCACTTGGTTCAAAGATACTGAATTTAAAAAGGCATTATAATCAAACTACTTAATCGCAGATAGATGATGTATCAGGGTATTCGTCTCGCCAACTGTGAATGGAAAGCTACCCATCCCCACGGGAGTCAAACGAAAGACCGGAGTGTCATGGAATGGACTTGAACTCACAGGTGAGTTCCGCCCCCCTGTCAGAATAACAAAACACACAGGGACAGAACGGTTCCCGAATGTTGAAACTGATCGCCGCCGCTATGAAGAAATTTCGGAACTAATGTGCATCATTGATTGGGCTGCGACAGTGAGGAGTTGGTGCGTCCAGAATTCCTCCCTGCTGAAGCTATGCACGTGGTCATCTGCCCAGCCAGTCCCTCTTCCCCGGAAGTCCCAGCACCTGCTGCCCTGTGGTCGCTGAACCTGTTCTGAGGACCTGTGTGCAGCCGCCCAGCAGTAGCTCCACCGATTCATGAGGTCTGAATGTCTTTGTCTTGGAACTGCAAACAGCTAATAAGAACAGCGGATAAATAGTACGTCGCTTGCCATTCTCAGTGCGTTCTGAAGTTTGGTTGGTTGTGTGTTCATATTTTTTTAAGTAGCCAGTATCCCTCTTCTGTCTTATGCACATTAGTTCAAATGAAGGGAAATGATTACGAAATTTTAAAGCAGATGCTCCCTAGCTAACGCCATGAGACCTTATTTCTGCTACTGTTGCTGAATTGTGGCTGTGGTATTACTAGATTTCATGAGAATTCCTGGCCATTGGGGCTTGCATATTCCACACATCTGTCTTTGTTAATCATCAAGGTTGGCAAGTTCATTTTAAACACCTTTTTGCTGGGCTGTCAAATTGTCACAGTTCTAAATAGTTGAGAAATAAAACATTGAAAAGCATGTTTAGCAATGTGAAATAAACAGAAAAGATGAGCTTTATCAATTGTTGGACCCGGAAGTTCATTCTAGTTGTATCAAGCCTCTCTTCATGTTAACTGTTTTTCTTTTTTTACATATATGACCTGGAATGTTGAATGTTGAAAGTAATCGACATCTTTTCCTAAAGGTTCAAGGAGGAGAGTGGTACTGACCTTTCTAAGTCATCGACCAAAGTCTGCTGTAGAACAACGATTGAAAACAAATCATCACAAAGTCTCTAAACACCAGTCAGTATTATACACAGGTCTAGAAAGCTTGCCTTATTTTGTCATTCTGTGCGCATAGGAATCCGCATTTGTTCAAAATAAGTTGCTAATTCTTTAAAGTCAAATAAAATATAGTGTTTACATTCCTTAGGTCCTGGGAGTGAGGGGGTTGGAGAGGAAAACTACAATTTTACAAACTAGCAAAAGAAAAAAAAGCAGTAATTTCTTTAATGTTATTTTTCTTGATCAGTAATTATTATATGTCGTGAGACACTAAAATCAAAACCAGGAATCTCATTTAGACTACATTCTTTGAGATGATCCGCAGAACAATCACTTGTAGAAACTGTAAAAAAAAAAAAAAAAAAGTAAAAGGCCTCCTAGTCTCTGAATTTTTTTTCCATAAATATTTCTGGCTTTTGAATAGTTTATTTATATTGTATATCATAGTTTCAACTGTAGACAATGATGATGCTAATTTATTGTTCCTCGGTTTTTGCCTTGTATAACATATAACCAAGACAAGAGAAACCAAATATATGTGTTTACTCTAGCATGTCTTCAAGTTAGTGGAACTCTGTTCCAGGACATAGAAAGGTCTTAATGAATGAAAAAAATCATCCACTTGATTAAACATCTGTAAATCTTCATCATTCTTACTGTAGTTTATTTAATATCTATTGTAAATTATGCGACTTGTAACTTGCTCTGTTGGCGATTCAATTTAACCGGGTGGAGTCTTGACCCGGTTTCCCATGAAGGCGTGGTAAGTTGTATACCAAAGATATGAGTTGTTATTCAGTGTGTATAAAGAGGATTATTTTGTATTATTTTCTATTACTCGCCTTTTCTCTTTGTCCCGTGAAGGGTACACACTGGTTCCCTGGGCCTGGTGGCTGTCAAGCTCGTGTTGAGAAGAATCACCGAGCAGAGCTCAGATCCAACGCGTTCAGAGAACGACCGTTGCCCCCGACCCCACACACAGGAGAACACATGGTTAGGGCCAGGTGGACAGGAGCGCTGTCCATGTCCATGGAAAGACTCCATCTTGCCTGTGCATCCTGGGTGGGGGTAATTGTGACATGAGAAGGACGTTTATGTGGAAGGTCTCTTGCATTTCCAACAAAAATACACTGCTGGCCTATCTTACTTTAAATCTACACTACATCCTGCTGAATGTTAAGACCGTTTCCAGCATCTCAGTTATCAGTCTGTTGTCTCCCCCAGTGGGCGGTGCCCTGAGAGCAGCGAGAAAGAGAAACTGAGTCACGCTGGCATCCACAGGGACCGAGGTGGCACTTGTCAAGACCCAGACCAGGGCCTGCCCACAGCGCCTCCTGGGGTGGGGGCCTACACAAGCCTTCTCCGTCACGGGTTTTATGTGTAAAAGCAGACAGGTAGAAAGGATTTTGTTTCTGGCTTGCTTTGGTTGATTATAGTTGGTCTATGTTTGTAAACAGAGAAGCCTGTGATGTCTGAACTTGTGTGTCACAGATCTTTGCAGCTGCCTCGGACTTGAAGCCATGCCGTGCTCAGAGTGTGAAATCAGTCCCTTGTCGAAGTTTTCCTCCTGTATCCGTGAACTAGCAGATTGTCATGTCGGTTCTTGCCAGGAATTTCTCAACAACATGATGGTTTTTATTTTTCCTCCAGTGTTTCAATAAATATTGATATGCCCAGCCTGACAATTCTTTAAAGTCTTTATGTGGTTCTTACTAGATTGGCTACTGAAGCTTGAAAATAATGTAGAAATTGGCTAGGCAGCATGTTTTCCAGACATTTTCTAGCGGTCAGTTGGCCTTTTTTTTTTTTTTTTTGGTGGATATTTGAAATCTTGATGAGTATGCATAATAATTCTTCACAGGAAATAAAGCCTCATAATATTTACTCAGCACTGGTTGGCATCAAGATTTTAACAGTATCTTTTTTTTTTCTTTTTGTCTGCCAAATAGTGCCCTAATAACTTTCAGAAAGTGATTGGCTAGTTTACTTCGCTGATCCTCAGAACGGTTCCCTACAAAAAGTCCAATAAACCACTAGAAAACCGGAAGGGGCGCTGTGGCTCAAGCGGTAGAGCACTCGCCTTGAGCTGAGGAGCGCAGGGACAGCACCCAAGCCCAGAGTTCAAGTCCCACAACCAACCAAAAAAAGTAATACACATCAGAGGAAGGGATTGAAGGCATGGCTCAGGGGGTAGAGCATTAGCCAGTGAGCAAAAGCATGTGATCAGGAGTTCAAATCCCAGTCTTGGATCACGTTTTTGTTCACAACGTTCAGGATGCAACCCAGGGCCGAATGCGCTCTACCAGGGAGCTGCGCATCAGCCCCAGGAGCTGGGAGGCTGACTCCAGCACCAGCGCGTCACCTCTCGCTCTCTCCCCAAACCGAGGTGGCACCTAGGATTTGCTTCCAAAGACAAAGGTGCTAGGAACCATCAGGCACTGAGTCCTCATGAGTGACAGAAGTCTTTATCAAGAACATAAACATAAAACCTTTATCCCCTTTGAAATTTAGCCCTAAAAGCAACATGCCTAAAGAATGTTCTGGAAACTAGCCTCCTGTAGTACCACTGAATCTTTGGAGACATTCAGAGCTGTAAAATAGGCACCAAATCCACGTTGGTGGGCAGCGGAGGGGTGGCTTGAGTGGCAGAGGCAAGCTGGGTGCAGATGAAGGCCAGCAAGCACCCAAGGTCCTGGGTTCAAGCCCCAATACCAGCACCAAAACATAAAAAATAGCTGTCAGATGGGTGGTGGACTTAACGGAGTAGATGGTAAGGAATCTACTTCAACACTAAAACTCCAGGCAGTGATGCTGTGACTCAAAGCAGTAGAGAGCTAGCCAGGACAAGCCGGGCGCTGGTGGCTCACGCCTGTAATCCTAGCTACTCAGGAGGCTGAGATCTGAGGATCGTGGTTCAAAGCCAGCCCGGGCAGGAGAGACCGTGAGACTCCTATCTCCAATAAACCACCAGAAAAACCGGAAGTGGCGCTGTAGCTCAAGTGGTAGAGCGCTCGCCTTGAGCTGAAGAGCTGAGGGACAGCGCTCAGGCCCAGAGTTCAAGCCCCATGACCAACCAAAAAAAAAAAAGCTCAGGGACAGTGCGCAGGCCCTGAGCTCAAGCCCCACAACCGACAAAAAAAAAAAAGTTGCAAAATATTATATAAGAAGCACAAAACGATGTGTGAAGCACAACCCCCTCCCTCCCGCCCTTCCCCAGCAGGGCCCCCTGCACACACCCACTTCTAGCCACCCACAAAAGCCTACCACCGAGTCACACAAGAACCCTGCGCACACAATCCAGCAGGCTGGGGAATGAAACTTAAGTAACTAGTAGCCTACAAACCCAGGGTCCCTTGAGCACCTCCTGGGAGAGATTTTTTTTCGTCCTTAAACAATTCTTGCTGACATTCCATAACATAGGAAATTATATATTCTGATTTAATTGAACAGTAGCATCTACAGGAAAGAAAAATGTACAGCTTGCTAAATCTTTGCATTTGTAGACAGCCAAGTAAGTCAAGCGACAGGAAGAGCATAGGTTTGGGGTAGGTTTTTGTGGGGTGTTTTTTTTTTATTTATTTTGGTTAGGGTTTATTTTTTAGTGCTTTTTAAAAAGTAGTTATATGCACTTAAAAAAATAAATTGGTGGAGAGAGTTTCTCCGAAGCCTAACCTGGCCGCTGGCGGGGTGGATGTGGCAGGCGCAGAGGGCTGTAACCTCCACACT